GCGGGTCCAGATCGCGCGGCTCCACACCTGCACCGTCCCGAGCTTGCGGCCGGCAGGCTCCGTTGCCCCTCACGCCCTCCCTTCCCCAAACGCCTGCGCCCGCGCGGAGAGACCGGCAGAGGGAATCCCAGCGCAGTCCCTGCGTCCCCAAGTTGTCGCGCTGCGGTCCCGCAACTCTCACACGTCTCGCGGGCTACTGATACTTTAAATGTGAGCGTTCCTCGGGTTGTGTGTGGAAATGCCCCTTCTCACAGAGTCTTACGGAATGCGGAGTTGGAGCAAGAGGAAGGGAGAAGGGAACACGCGTTCTCCTCCCGGCGCACCTGTTCGTGGACCGTGGGGCGGGCCAGGTGTGCGGGGCCAGCGCCTCACCCCGCTCTCCCCGGGGCTCCTATGCTCTTACCGAGGTCCAGATAATAAAGGGCTCTCGGGGCAGAACAGGGACAGATCGCGCGATTCCCGGCGTCGTTTGTTGCTGCGTCGTCCTGAGCCTCAGACCACACCACCCCGCGCGTCCTCCCTCCGCAGCCTCTCCCCAGGCAGTGTTTTGCTCCCGGTAGAAATGATGAACCTTCGTTAACGGATCCCATCACCCTGACTCCCATGACTACTATTATTATCTTATCGAATAATGGAAAGGTCTCCACAAATGATTTTTTGTGGTTCGGAAACGCTGAAGGGACAGAGATCTCTGGATAGTTGGAGTCTGGAGTGATGCTATCGAATTGTGGGGCGACACTACACCCTCAGAGCACTTTTCAAATAGAGCAGTCAGTCGGAGGCAACCTGAGCGCTCGGCTGGGTTTTCAGAAAGGTAAGCAAGCCCAGGAGGTTGGAGCCCAGCGAGGTGCCTGGCCGCCAGAGTCCCCGCCCCTGATCGCGGTGACGCAGAGCCGCCGCGGTGAGAGCGCTGGCTACGTTTAATCTATTTCTCCATGGGGCATGAATCCTAAAGGCCTTCTAGGTCGCGTTCTACGATCCGAAGACTGTGGGTGGAGTGGCGGCTTTTTCTTTTTTCTCTCTCCAATAGGCTTGTTGGGGGAAACATTACCTGGAACAGATGAAGTGTCTGAGAGTTTTACTCCTTTTGCATTTTTTTAGGAAGCACTGTATGGGCTTTGGGATTTTCTGCGATCAGTCAATGATCTTGTGAGCTACAGATGACAGGATTACTTCCCCTTTCACAGAGGAGGAAAGGGAGGTTTGGCAAGACCAAAAGGTTTACCCGTAAAACCAGAGCTAGTTAATCGCCAGAGTCATGTATTTTAAAAATCCCTTTGACTCCTTGTTCTTTCCCATGTACTTCATTTTTTTTTCTGATAACAACGCCTTGGTTGGCATTTTGTCCGTTACTTTATAAGATCACTACTCCATTTCTTTAATTGTGAAGAGGTGTCTATTAAAAGCAAATCCAGGTTCAGATCTCTCCCTTCTTCTCAGATAATGACAGTACCATTGTTTTTCTTTTCCTTTTTCTTTTTCTTTTTTTGAGAGGTTTTTGCTATAGGGTGCATGCGCTTTGCAGAAAGACAGAGAGAGACAGAGAGACAGAAAGCGAGAAATCACCCCCTGGGGGGGATGGCCATGCCGCAATCTCTTCTCCATTCTCTTCTCGGGATCTTGGGCATGCACACGTGTCTGGCATAAATTCAAGCCACCAGGTCCAGGACTCGAGCACCGGTCGCCTACGTGGGAGTCCAGTGACATAGCCATTATGCTAACTGCTGGTCCAGACAGTACCATTTTAAGGCAGGATGGAAGTAGGGGATAGACTGTTTTGGTGAAGGCTTTACAATGAGACTACAGACGTGGCGGTGTGGGGGTGATTTG